GATGTCATCAGTTGGATCACAGTTGTGTTACAGTGAACAATGAACGGTGGTATTAAAGACAATATCAGCTCTGCGAAGGACAATAATGATTTTATGACAGTTTTTTCTATGCAATAAGAAGGCGGCCTGAAAAGGCTGATCTAACGATCAAAAGAAAACAGAAAATGCAAGGACTATAACCCAAACCCTTTCATCTATACAAATTACCCCTCACCCTCAACACATACTAGGTCATAATATTGTCTTTAGTATCGCTTCCTCCTACATCTTTAGAAGCAATGGCACTTAGCGCATTAATGCTCCTCTTGACTTGATATTTGGTAGTAAAAGACGATTCAAAATGTATCCCAAGCTGTGAGCCGGCAAAAGGCAGACCAATTATGCGGGCATTGAGCCAACACACAGAGACAAAATACTGAAAAAGTACCAGTTTTTTGCTAATATACTCCTAATGCAGACTGTAGAGTGCACGAGGTTTTGCGTTTGTTTTAATATTTATTAACACTGAGGAAGTCGAAGTCATCTCATAGGAAACCTGTATGCAACCCAATGCGTAGTCGAAGGGGGACTTTCGGCATGTGTCGAATTTTGAAGGTGCCGCATCCACTGAGCAAGTCCAAGGACATAAGGGCTATTTCTCCGGGGTGGCGACTACCATTTCGTATGAGCAGCCCCGAGGCCACCATGTAGGCGTCTCCAATGGTTTCCACCTGAAAGAAATACAGGGCGCAGTTTTTTGAGTGTTAAGGCTGTGGTGCTAAGACTAGACACTTGCAACCATGCGATGTTTATTTGAAACTACCTTTTAACTACCTTCTATTTAAGAGCAATATTACTAGGTGCATAAGGATTCAGCGATACCCAGAGTTTTGTATATGCGCGTACCTCAATTTGGAGCAGACTGGAGATAGACAAACTTATATACCACTGAAGTGCTATAGAAATCCCACGGCGGTGCCTAGACCCAAATAAAATGTTACGTTCGTGTATTATGACAAGTCAGCCTTTCAGGCGTTGTTTACTTTGTAGACGTTGTATTTGTCAATGGTTGCATCTGCAGCCAGTAACAATGCATTTCAATGCCTCCCTCCAGTTCTACTGTGCCACTGTACTCTGTCTTGTAGCCACCAATCCTATCCAGCAGTTCTTTAAACGGTTGACTTATGTGGATTCTAAAGGCTTTTGTGAGAAAGTTGAAAATCTGACGTAAGTCTTTCGCTCAAAAGAAGGTGAATGATGCACAGTCACAGAATATGTCGCATGTGCACAGCAATCCGGCAGATGTTTACTCGCTCCCTCTCACGCAAAAAGCTTATCGTTTAAAAGGTAATAAAGATGATAAAAACACAGATCTGCTCCGGTTGATTCCATTTGGCTGCCGTATTGGCTGTAGTCCCGAATAAACAGTAACGAGGCATGGTTATGCCAACCATTCCGGCAACGAATGGGCCTAAAATTTCAAGAAAAAAATGTATTTTTTGATGTGCTAACAGATATGTTAACTTCGTCGCATACGCCCGTCAAAAAGAAACGTGGAAATAATTTAGATTGTCCTGACAGACATAAAGGGAGCAAAAAAGCTGCACAAACGACCTCAAGACTGTATCACTGAAAGCTTCGCAATAATACAGTCCTTTTAGGCATTGGATGGTCACAGTTTTCGATTAAGTTTTCCTCTACACCGAGAAGGAGCTCCTTTCGTAAGAGCGTCTCATGCAACAAAAATATGTTCAATAAATGCTCATTTTTTGTAAGCTAGAGCGATTATGACCTCTTATAACAAAGTGTATTCCTCCTCCCTGGAGTGACTTCCTTGTCAGGACTTCTGTGTATTTTCTCCCATAATTCATTTATGTTAACGGTATTCTGGCCTATGTTCACGCTGGTTTACAGACAAGGTGACCGGAATGATCAACACAAGCGCACCAAGTAAGTCGCACACAATTTTGTAAGTTAGTCTGGGACGGTGAAAGCTCTTGTGAGTCACCAGCAAGCCTTCCGCGTTAAATATTTAATCAGCGTCAAACATCAACGGGATGTCGTGAGAGTGCAAAACAGAATATTACCCAGGGAAGATTATTACGCTCACTCGCCCTTCGCCTCAACCCACTGGAGGCACAACTAGGGTTCCCACTGGTAGTCAGAAGCACCTCCATTTCCACGGCAATTTCAATTGCAACAGTGCGGGCTTGCTGTTTACGAATTGTCCCAGTTGAAGACCTTCACGTCTGTTGGCATACAACCAACTCGGTCTTTCAGACAGGCTCTTCAGTTACTTCAAGATAGTCTAAGTCGAAATCGTAAATGGTCTCGGCACGCAGAATTGGGACCACCAACTTGCAGCATCTAGGGCTAAAGCGCCAGGTGAACCGATTGAAGGTTCAATGTAGCCACCAGATCTACCCTCGCTATTGATACCTTCTACTTATATTGTGTCCGCGTCTACTAAAAATCCACTTGTGCCCTTCTTGTTCACTGTCCACCAAAAATCTCAGCCACTGGAAGCGACGAAATCCTCATTACCAACAACGTACTCACATTCCACCAACCATGTATCGTAAGCATAATTCTAAGACCTAAAATAGACTCCTGCTATAATTTCGGGCTCTATGTAGGGCCAGCTCGTGCCCCATATGTAGCAAACGTTACTGTGTAGTGTACACAACGTTGTGAAACCCCTAACTATCGCCGTTCATTTTCAAAAGTTAAGACACCTAATAATATGAACGCCAAGCAAATGCACCGTATTCAT